CTACCACAGAGAAAAAAATAGGAAAGAACAAGCATTTCCTTTCTTCAGGACATTTCACCTCATTTAACAAAAACTACCTTTACCTTTTATGAATTCCCTTTCTGCTCTGACATCTGCATTCAAAGATACAGAGAGGGATACAGTTACGGCATCAAATCAGCAACTGAGATTTACACAGCAACCACAGAATACCGAAATCTCTGAGACAAACAATGATATGTTTGCCACACTACATTGAGAAGAGGAATTTTGGTCAAAGACATAAGACCAATAACAGAGTATATTTAAATTATTAAAGATGGCAACAATTAAACTTTCCTCTTTAAAAAAAAAAAAAGCTCCAAAGCTTTACAATAGCAGCCAAGAAAATGAGACCATTTTAAAGTGAAATTACTGTTAATTTTGAAGCCTATAAAAATTGAGTCACATTTCTACACAGCTATTCTGGATTACATTCTAAAGTAATTCTGGATCACCTTCTGGATTACGTTATAAATCACCAGCTGGCAATTGGCACACACAAAAAAAGGAAAGTAACAGAAAAAGTCTATGCATTGAAAACAAATAACCGTAGATTCACCTATAATTATGTGGGTAGCACTTTTATAGGTCCTATATCTCTTTCTGTTTTATTTAATCCCAATGTTATGTCACTGACTTTTACAGACATATAGGTCAATATCCAGGGATTTTAGTGCCCAAAACACCATAGCTCACACTGAAATTGATTCAGGCCTCATTTATCCTGATGTGTGAAAAGAAGTAATTTAATACTCTGTAAGGAAAACATTCAGGATAAGAAATGAGGTGCTCTGGTGTAAAATGGCACAGCTTATGTCTTGGTGTTCCTAACGCTTACCATATTCCTTGCTTCTGTATTATCACTGCACACAAGGTCACACAGACTGCAAGAGAACTAAGTTCCATCCACTGACTGATAAAGTAGTCACTGTATCCATATGCACTTACTTGTTTTGGGTAAAATACTTTGCAAACATTTTAGAAAGCTGAATATTATAAAATAAAATAGGACGAAAAAAGCTTATTATAACTTTTAAAAATTCCCAAATTCAACGTAGGATCAGTTTGCAAGCATTTCTACTTATACCTATAAACCAGACGACGATAGAAATATCAGTTCCTATCCCAGACTTCAATGATGGTTGAGGAGAAGGTATCAACAACAGTCAAAAAAATCCAAGATACCAATATTAAGAATATCCAAAAGGTTTCTGTACACACTTGTTTTCAGAAGTACTCGCCCACTGGATTGGTACTGCAACTTTATTCCTTTCATTTTCGATAACAGTTTAGACTCTGCTATCTGCTGATACTAACATAAAAAGTCATTACCACATTTAATGGTGAATTAACTAAAGATATCAGTCCAGCTATTAGGTACTGTACAATTTGTTGTACCACATCCTAATAGATGTTCCTTCTTGTATATGACTAGCCTGAGGTCCTCAGCTGTTAGGGTAATAATGGCAGAAACCTTGTGTCATACTAAATTATTTTTAAACACAGAAGCAGCTTTTCGAATATTTATTTATATTTACTGTATTTATTGACTTAGTTATTTATTGAATATCATATAACAAAGAGTTTTTGTAGCAGCTCTATGTCACGCATCCACTAGTTAATGCTTAAATATAGGTATTTCCAATTCCAACACATCATACAATCCTTAACAACAAATATTTCTGTTCTGTGACATGTTACGCAATACTTACTTAAATACCTTAAAATTAATAAAGATATACTTGACTACAAAGCCTGAAGTATATTTCCTTAATGGCAGAACAAAACAATTTTCTTTTCCAATTTTTTAAGTTTACTTTTTTCCCTATAATTCTCATTCAGAAATCACTAACTAAGAAAAATAATCAATATTTATTTTAAGAATAAATCCATTTATAGTTCTATTATTATAGGTCAGTAATCAGGAAAGTTCACTGTTTACAGATCAAAAAGTATTCTTTATCCAACTTGAGTCTAATCAGAAATACTTTAAACTGTAAGGCATTTAAATAAACAAGAGAAAATCAGTCAGGTTTTGGATCAAAACTGCCCAAAATGACACTATTCACAACTAGGGTACACATATCTCAGCAAAAAAAGAAGATAATTCAAAAGAAAATTGAGCTACTGGAGGAAGAAAAATGAATCAAAAGAACTCTTATTTTAGCCTCAGAATTTTCATACAACATCAACCTTACACGGCCATTTAACACACAACAATATAAAGATCAAAATATTTATTATTCAAAACTATCTACACTGGTGTCTAAAACCAATGCTCTTTTACTTTCTAAATTTCAATAAACTGTCTATGAATAAAGCTCTAACAAGAAGTGGTCCTGAAAATGTGTACAGTACAAACACTGAGGGTTACACAGTAGGTCAACAGTAGGCAAAAGTAAACACAAGCTATAATCTCTGTGAAAGCCTGGAACACTATTTTAGGTAACTACGTCATCCTCAAAGGTGAAAGAAACATTTGACAAATATTGAAAGCTTTGGAACAAAGCTGTTGGAAAGTACAGCTACAATTCTCTTGAAATCTTAATTTTTCCTAGCCTTTATCTCTCCCGGGTACTAAGTGATGCCGGCAGAAAGAATTAGTGATGAGGTAGCTAAAAGGCTGTTTCCTAAAGTATGTGCACAGGAGTCATATGGCCATAACATAAGGTAATCTGCAAGGGTGGCACCTCCCTTCCTACAGCCTCGGTGCAGTTTTTGCAGCTCTTGTCAATTCTGCTTCTTCTCTGCAAGACCACCACTTCATGATGCTCATCATCAGCTACAATTTTGACAGGTGCTGCACTTTTTGTAGGGTATGCAGATGAGAGCAGAATGAAGACAATTCTATCTAAAAGTGTGCTATAACTAGAATTTTTCCTTATTATACTTCAAAGGTGTCCAAATGCTTTCCAATAGTTTTTAAGTAATAGAAATAGCAACAATCTTTTATGACAATCACTATTCCAAATATCAAATTTCTAGGTTAAAATATGGAACATGAGTGCAAGTGGAAGCTGATGCATTTCACAGATCCTGTGTTTTCTACAGCTGCAATGAACTTAAAAAACCATGCGTCCACACTTCTGAAAACCATGACAAACAAAGATTTTAAAACTTCAACTTTAAAAACTTGCAAATTTAAACAAACCGTATAAACGGCATGAGTCACTCCTCCTCTTTGGAGTCTAATCTCTATAAACTAAAACCCTGCTTCTCCTGTGACAGTGTAACAGTGAATTAGAAACAAAACAACTAATCTATACCTCTGACTTCCTGAGGCAAACCCGCTCACAGCCATCAGTAAAAAAATCACAGAAACAACTTTCCTGTTAAAGTGTGAATTAACACAAACTAACATATACAGTAGCCCACGTAGCTTAAAGTGAAGGTTCTGGCTGGTTTAGCATCAACTGCTTTGTTAGAATGTGAGTATTTGATCCATTTTCACTGTTTTAAAGCCTTTAAAAGAAATATACATATAGATCCAAGAAAGCCAAAAGCTCTACAGCCCAATGGGACTAGTACGGTAAAAGCAGAGTTCGCACCTCAATCCACAGCAAAATATCTTAACTGAGTTGTCACCATGACTTCCTCTGCTTCCAAGAAAAATATCAGTTAATCATTATTAGTCAATCATAATTACATACATATTTACATACACATACACACATAAAAAATATACATATAGGTAAAATGGTCAATTATTATTATCAGATATTATTGATCAATTATTAATGATGCAATAGAGTTAGGAAATAGAATAAGACCAAATAAAGAGTTCTTTGGCCTTCTGACACATTTTCATGACCCACTTCAGCAAAGCACTTAAGGAAGTATTGAATTTCCTTACATCTCACTCGCAGTAAATGGGACATATGTAGAGTGCTTAAGTTCCTTGTTGCTCTTTCCACATATTTCAAAGAGAATGGAGAGAGAAAGCTCATTCCCTGTGAGAATTCACAGTCAAGAAGTCCTAAAGATAGACTTGCTCTGGCAGTTGAATTTTACAAGGCCAATGCAGTTCATTTCACAGTAAATTCCTCATTTACATTCCTCAGTAAGGTAAATAAAAAATGTTGCTCTACCATACTTTCTCATTAGATGAAAACACACAATATAACATAATATGGGCTTCCTGCTTTTATTCTGTTGTTTAAGTGCATTATTAGTCAATTCCTTCTACAGGTGGTAAAATAGCCCTTTTCCCCTTACTCCTTGCTCAGCTTTAAGCTCATTAATCTTCATGATTTAAAAAATATGCACTTCAAACAGTACCTCCCATGTTTAAATATTTTTATTTACTAGACTAACTGATAACCACAGGAAGAGCTGTGCTGTGTGCATGCCAAATTAAATCTCACTACTCATGTCATCAGATAAAGCTACTGCCAATTGTAACTTAGCACTTTCAAATTTGTGTGTAAAGCACTGTCCTTATTCTTCTACTAAAACCAAAAAGGGGATTTTAAGTTGTAGTAAGAAGAAGTAAAAATAATTTCATGATATATCCCAAGATGCACCAAATAATGAATTTGGCACTGGACTTGAGAAGTACTATGTATACAATACGTTTGTAGCCAGCCCAGGATGCTGCTATCAAACCACACAACACCTGAACCAAGTTTTATTCAAGTATGCCATGTGTAGTAAGACTAATATTTCTGCTCGTTAGAAAGCAGTTTCAGATCTTTCCTCTGACTTGAATAGCAGCTACTGTGCTACCTTTCTGACCACAGTTTTGGCCAAAGCAGCTGAATAGCTGGCTGTAGATCCCACTTGCACTGCTGCTGCTGCCGCCTAAACCACTATCATACTGAAACAGATACAAGCTCTGTGGTGCACAAAAAATGTGGGTCCCTTTTCAAGTTTATGCCATTCTGCTCAGCAAAATCTGTCATCTTCTACCCTTCTGGGCCTGCATCAGTACAAAGAGTAAGGTTTAACTTAAAAAAGACTTTTTCAAAGCCATATATTACCTTAGCCAAATGAGTGTTGATCCATTTTGTGAAAGTCCTCTTCTGCACTGACTCTTGCTCATCTGAAGAAAAAAAAAAAAAGGAAATCAGTTTGACTACTGATTAGACATCACCGAATATAGTTTGAGTTACATGATGGAAGAATAATATTCTGTACTGACAACAAATACACTCTGCATTTGCCAGAAATGCCACTATATTTTCTTGAGACAATTCTGTTATTTTTGCCTGTAACTACCAGTGACAAAAGTTTTATATTCTTACATTAATGCACTGATACTTGACTATTTGAAGAGGTCCACAGCAAAGATCAAGTGCTAATGAATGACTGAAACGTAAACTACCATTTCAAATCTGAATCACAAAATGAATTTGATTTCTAGATCCATATTATAGCACTGAAGAAGGCAGCCAGATTTACCCAAAATCTGAGGACTGAGAACAACTACTGTGCTTTTCGATAAGAACTTCAGGTAATCCATGCCTCTGACAGGCAAGCTACTGTTATTCAGAAAATCATTTAGAGACTTAGAAAAACTACCCAGAGTATATACACTTGAAAATGTTTATAATGCCGAATTAAAGATACCTTAAATTCACCCCCTTATCTATCTTCTAAGAGAACCACCAGGGAGGAGTCGCTAGCTAGTTCAGACAGTTTCTGCACTGCTACTTACTACTTCCCTTAGTCCCATCTCGAACTATGTGTCTGGATTTATAGTGAATTTCCCTGATTCTCAGATAGTCCCTCAGGGACTGTTGCCAGCTGCATAGGCAAAAATAGCTCCTGAACTAGCTTCTGCCTTCAGCA